CTCTCTCTCTCTCCCTCTTTGTATCTGAACTTTTCAACACTTGTATACTTTGAAGGATCAGTGTATGTATGTAATATACATGGAAACTGACATTCCACTCGGCACCTCTAAACGGCAGAAAATGCACAAAATGCCTCTCGTGAGTTCTGAAGTGAAGCTCTCGACGAGACCAGTTGATTGAATAGAATCAAAAAAGGTTGACATATGCGCTTCACGTTATCAAGATAAGCATTAAATGGAATATTAAGGTCAAAGGAGTGGGGATTAAAATTTCGACTCGAAACGAGACTCAAGCGGAAGTACGCTGTACGCAAAAGAGGAAGACAAAGGCGTCATGATCTATTTCGCGCGTTTTCACGAAAGACCCGCGCATTGTTTGCCAAGTTACGTCAAAGCCGCGAAATCGCGTAGCGCGTGCTTGACGGTGCATGTGATTAGTATGTTAATTCATTCACTAACAATTCTCATCCCGTCCAGGATCCCGACCACCCCGCACTCGGATGTAGCGCGTGTATTATGCAACGGATAATTCTCACCTGTCAAATGTGTGTATGTACGCGGACGAATGTACTTCTGTATTTCGCAGGCGCGCGCGGCGGAGTGCGTAGGACAAAGTGAAAGACAGACAAAACGAGGGAGCGAGAGAAAGAGAGAGAGAGAGAGAGAGAGAGAGAAAGAGAGAGAGAGAGAGAGAGAGAGAGAGAGAGAGAGAGAGAGAGAGAGAGAGAGAGAGAGAGAGAGAGAGAGAGAGAGAGAGAGAGAGAGAGAGAGAGAGAGAGAGAGAGAGAGAGAGAGAGAGAGAGAGAGAGAGAGAGAGAGAGAGAGAGAGAGAGAGAGAGAGAGAGAGAGAGAGAGAGAGAGAGAGAGAGAGAGAGAGAGAGAAAGAGAAAGAGAGAGAGAGAGAAAAGGTAGATCCGGCTTCTTGTCGATACTGCCGCGAATAAATCGAACCGACACCGATCGATTCGACGACAAATCGCGACGGCCGCACGAGCGCGCAATTGCAATTGGCGTCGAATCGACCGCAGTGTTTAAGCGCTAAAATAACGCGAACGCGTGAACTCGTTACGGACGGTTAATCGGTCGCAGGGATGGTCATGGAGAGGGACAGAGGGAGGGCGAGGAGGAAGAAGGGTGGGAAGGGAGTTGAACGGCACCGACGGTAACTTCAAGGTTTTCGCTGTTTAACCGCGAGTGCACACACGCACACCATCACGCCGGAATAATATTTCCGCCGCGTCTACTACGACGCATTGGCATCACGCTGCCGGTGCGTCGGCATTTTAATTAATCGATCGCGCGCAATTAATTTGTCGGCGCAATCGACGGCAGCGCGTCGACAGCGCGTGTGAGCCATAATAATGGGCCTGTGCCCGTAGCGTTCTCTCTCCTCTCCATTCTCCCTTTTCCCACCCTCCCCGCCTCCTCTCGTTTCGTCGCGACAGCATGGCCGAGAACCTCTCCTTATTTAAACTAATTGATTTATTACGCAGCCCAGTAGGAGCGCCTTTCTTTAATAATCCCTAATTGGGCACGGGGAATAAGGGATGCCGTTACGAAACTTATGCAAGCGGCGTCTAGACGCGCCGCGCTGACGCGGCGGGGTGGGAGAAGGGAGGGAGGAG